GAATCGGGCGAAGAGCGGATGCAGGAATCGAACGAGAGGGGTTTCTTTTATTGAGCCCTCACGGAAGCACCCAACTTGCTCTCGAGCTTTGGGTTGTGCGGATCCGAAAAGAGATGAGTGTTGTGCGGATCCGAAGCCCAAATTCCAATATAACATATGGCGAGTAACTTGACAAAATAGAGGAATCTTGTTCGGATCCGAAGCCCGAAATCCAATAAACCTTCGTTTAATTATTTATTGCTTTGACATTTAAGCGTAGAATATTATCTGCCTTGCGGATCTATCTATCGACTTGCAAATATATCATTGATATTAAACTGATAATTAATTGAAACTTTAATTTTTAATAATAATTGATGGGGGCATATTTAGAGCCGAGTTGGATTGGGTGGGAATAATTGAGTTGAAGTGAGCTCAATGGATCAAAGAGTAGGTATACTAATCTAACTCGATTAGAGCGAGCTAGAGGTGCGAATCGTCCAACCCAACGAAACGATTGAGTTAGTCCAATCGAATTAGGCATATATCCTTGAAAATAAAAATAAAAAATAAATTATGAACGAGTGAGTAAAATAAAGGGTCATTAGGGGCATGTTATGATCAATTCGATTAGGTTAAATCGAGCTAGAAATAAGTCGTCGAACCAAACTAAACAATAAACTAAGCGGTGTAAGTTGACCCAATCGAACTAGGCATATATCCTTGAAAATAAAAAAAAATAAAAAGTTATTGTCTATAGTAACGTAATATATCAAATTGAGTTTCAGTCAATCTAACTCGGTCAGATCGAGCTATAGGTGTGAATCGTCCAACCCAACGAAGCAATCGAGTTAGTTCAATTGAGTTAGGCATATATAGTTTGTATTGTCTATCAAGTATTTACTGAAATATTTATTTATGAGATCCTGAGTTAAAATATTTTTTAATTTATTTTCTATTTTATAGGTTTTTAAAGGACCATAAAAAGGTTTTAAATAGATTGACCGAGCTTCCCTAATGAATATATTTCATAAGGTGCCAATTGGTGTGATGGTCAATCTCCAGAGGCAATAATAATGATGGCATATGTTATATTCTTAGGCACTAAGGTAACTCTCCATGACATTAACTATGTTGTCAGCTTCTTTTTCTTCATTAGGTGGTGCTATATCCTTCAAAACTTATTCATGTGACACATATTTAGCTAATTTTGTTGGTTATCAGTCTTGGGATCTGATTTCTCCCAACACCGTAATGGGCTCAATCATGGTTCATGGATATGAGGTCCAATGAGAGTGCGTATGAAGTGTAAAGAATTAATCCCAAACTAATGCAACTTAATTGAGATATTGCAATCTAATCGGTTCCCATTTTTCCATAATAATCATAACAGGATCTATTTTCTCCATGCAAATCTTATGCACAAACAGCAAATCCACGTTAATACGGAGACCGAGTCAACTATGTGTTTATAGACGATCTATATGTGGAGGACAACCTGATAGCAGTTGCTGTTTTCTTCCTCCTCCTGTCAATTTAATGTCTTCTCTTCGCTCATATAAACCCTACTTTAGTGAATTCCAGTTGGAAGAGAAGCCCAACTTACCTATAACCATCCCATTGCTCCTCTCTCTCTCTCTCTTCTCTTACCTTCACCGTTCAAGAAAGAGAGGTAACTTTTCTTATCGAAGCGTAAGAATTAATCGTTTGATCGGAATGAAGATTTCGCTTTGTTCATAAGGAGGCGATGGGAAGGAGAATAGCATTTCCATCGGAAGCCAACACCTCAGTCCACCCGTCACTCGTCGTCTGCCTCGTAGTTGCATGGATCGCAGCCGTCATGGCCGTCGTCCTCTCCTTTTGCGCCACATGCAACCGCAAGTCCTCGAGCAAGCAGTCTTCTCCGCGGTCGTCACCGTCGAACGAATCCGTCGCGAAGCCTGCAGCTGAAACTACGCCTGCGGCTGCAGCGCAAGAACAAGACGAAAGCCCGGCACAAGAGATGCAGCAGCAGAAGCAGGAGGAGAAGGAAGAGGAGAAAGTGACAGTCATCGAGATGGCGCCCGACGTCGCGACGCATGGGCCCCTCCCTCCGACGGTGCTGCCGGCGTCGGCCTCGAAGCGGAAGCTTTCACTAAGCTTCGGAAAGGTGCCGGAGCGGCTGAGGACCAGCAGGAGGGAGCGGCACGGGAAGGGGAACGACTCGGAGGACTCGTTATGGAAGAAAACCATCATCCTGGGCGAGAAGAACAGGATCTCCACCGACGACGAGGAAGAGGTGGTGGACGAGAACGGGAACCGGCAGAGACACTACCACCCGAAGACGCCACGGTCGCGGCAGACTTCTCGGAACAACTCCTTCGCGCACCCCGACGAGACGCCGTCGTGAGCCACGGTCACCCGACGGAGAGTAGCCGGCGGTGATCGTTTTGGAGGCGCAACCTCCTGGGAGATGGGTGACCCATGCAAAACGTTGAATTGGTATGATCGCGTACGTGACGTACTTTTTGTATCGGTTTCTCTTCAACGAGTCAAGAATGGATTGTGCATGCGTTCGTCAATTACAATACGAGTCGATGACACCTTTTGATCGATTACTATAATCATCGAGTGAGAGTGAACCAAAATAAACAAAAACTTGTGATTTGACGTTAATAATACAACAAAAAAGAAAAATCTAGTAGGAAGTAAGCTAATCACCATATGATATACAAAATATAATATGAAGATAAAGGTCATCCTCCACCCGTGAATAAGGGTTCAAGGCAGGCGGTTATAGATTGTTCCTCCTTTGTCGCTCATATAGATAAGAGGCAAAAAAGAGACTATTGGAAGTAATTAAATATTACCTTCCCACGTAATATTTCATGAAATATTTTGTTCCTTTACAATAAGATATAAAAGCTCACCTTTAATACAAAGAAAAAAAGAGGGCTTGACCTTTTCTGATAACTCACGTCCGCACTCTTAAACTTTGGATTATTAACTTGGGTGTTGGAAGGATCGGATCGAGAAACCTCTCCCGACCTTAGTCTTCGTGTGGGTGGCATCTCGGGAGCTTAGCGTTTCTACGTTCGAGGCACCTCGGGCAACTTTGCATATATAAATCTGAACTACTTTGGACTGACTAGGATGTCAATAACTTTTTCCCCTAATAGGAGGGCTCGATGTTATAGTAACAGGTCCGTCCATCGACTCTCTCAATGAACACTCGATAGAGGAGGCTCTGCCCCCAACTCATAGTACTTTCACTCAAGCGGGATAGCAACCACCCTTTTCGCACATGAACGCATCCACCTTGGCGCAAACGTCGATGTGATACTAACGTTTATTTAATGACCCAAGTCTCTCACCCTAGGGGGTGACCCTGAGCCACTTGCTCGTCCTTGTTGAAGTGTTCTTGAATCTCACCCAATAAGTAGACATGTGACTTGGGAAAACCCAACTTGCGTGAGAAGAAATTCATCACAATGGAGGGAAAATACAAGATGTGTTTGAGGCATGAAAGTTGAGAAAACTCGACCTGCAATAAAAGAAATAATGTAAAAGACAAAATGTGCCCAAGACACGTGAGTTAGAAAAACCCGACTTATATGAGGAGAAATCTATCACGATGGAAGCATAAGGTAAAATGTGTCCGAGGCATATGAGTTGGGAAAACTCAAACCACATGAGGAAAAATCCGTCAGGATGGAGACACAAGGCAAAATGTGCCCGAGGTACATGAGTCGGGAAAACATGACCCACGTGAGAAGAAATTTGCTACAATAGAGGCATAAGGTAAAATGTACTCGAGGTGCGTGTGTTGAGAAAACCTGATTTGTGTAAGAAGAAACCCGTCATGACGGGAGGCACAAGGCAAAATTTTCCTGAGGTGCCTTCCATTTGTTTACCCACATAAACAAGGGTCCAAGGCAAGCGATTACAAACTGCCCCCCCTTGTCGCTCACGTGGACAAGAGGCCAAGGAGAGAATGTTGGAGACGATTAGAGACTACCTTCCCACAAAATATTCCATGAGATATTTTGCCCATTTATGATCAAGTATAAAAGCTCGCTTTAAACAAAAAAAAAAAGAGGAGGCTTGACCTTTTTTTACCACCAACATCTACACTCTTAAACTTCAGATTACTAACTTTGACGTTGATGGTATAATGAGTACCGTCGATTGGTGAATCGGCACAGTTGGTCTATTGCCGAAGGTGCAAGCTCACCCAGGTGTCTCTTCCTTACTAACATAGGAAACTTGGTGAGATGAGACCGCGTAAGCGGTCTGGTCGAAAGCCATTCTATTGGCGAGGACTCAGTTCTAGATAAGCAGGTAGGCGGTTTGAGATCTTCCTGGTTGCAATGTTCCTCCCTAAGGTTGGGTTGTCCGAGTGTCCTCGGGTAAAGGGTTGTCTGGTGGCTACGTCTTGATAATAGGGTCGCCTCCCGACCATCGACGATCTTGCTTGATAGGCTAGCGTCGAGAGTTGCCTGTTGTGGCCCCTCCGATGCTTAAGTCGGCAAATGGGAGAAGATAGTAGTATAAGCTATATGATTGAGTTAGTGTGTAGAGAGTCCTCCCCTTTAGCATGAGTTGATGTGTTCTTTTTTATACTTGATCCCTGAGCTTCTTATTGGCTGGCCTTGGATTAGATTATGTGAACCGTCCAAGCATTCTCTGATCTTGATAAGATACGACGATTATTGCCACTCATCGAGGCGGGACACATCAGGATGTAATGCGACATCATTTTGGGGTTGATGACCTAGAGCCTTGCTTAGGTATTAGCCTTTGTGACAAATGAGCTGACATATGACAAAATCATCCATATTAGACATTAAGGAGATCGAATCGAAAAATCCTCTCCCGATATTAGCCTTCGTGCAGGTGATACCTTGAACAACCCTGTGCATTGGGGTTCAAACTATGTTGGACTGACCAGGACGTCAACGACTTTTCCCCTAATAAGAAGTAACCTATAATTACCTTAATGGCTTTTTAAATGGTCAGGTGCACAAAGATGCTATGCATTGCATTCAATGGTTATCAATTTAGCAACTATAAGTGATTACAATTTCACTTTCCTGTTCATCACATCATGGTAATACAAGAGGATACACATTGGTTGTCCCAGAATGCAGAAGAACAGCCAAAAAATCATGTTTCCGACCTGGCCGATTAACATCAAAACAAAATTGTAGATTAGGTTTCTTAAAGTTCAACATTACAAAAAATAAGATACAGAAAACCGATTTATCGACTAGGATTATGAACTCAACATACCGTGGTGTTTTTGAATTTATTCTGGAGATATTTTGTCAACACGATCAAGGGAATCTGGCAAGCAATGATAGGAAAAAAAAAAACCATTATGAATAAGAAGCCATGGTGTGGATATTTGGTCATCTTTTACAATATCTCTTATGATACCAACAATAGTCACGCTTTTTTTTTCTTTTCGTTTCAAATTATTTTCTTAGGTCTTTTCCTTTTGCATCTTAATTGATTCAATTTATCTAACTATGGGATCAATAGATAACTCATTATTTGCTAACCCAAATGAATTTACAGTCCCTACCTAAATTTGGAAGTGTATGGTTCAAATAGCTGGAGCATGAATCTTTTCTAAGGTCCATTATCTTGAATTAATCCAGGATTTTATATACCGTGTTATGCCCTCAAAGGATTTTATAATACCAAAGGGAATAAAAGGTCTATAGTTATCTATCATGTGTTTTCTCTATCAAAGTTGGAACTAGTAGAGTCAAAGCATGAAATTTAATATGAATGGGAATAAAAGGTCAATAGTTATCTATCATGTGTTTTCTCTATCAAAGTTGGAACTAGTAAGCGAAAGCAAGAAATTTAATCATTTTAACAATTGGCATGAAACTATAGATGCTAAATAATAGTCATGTTGAGGAAGATAATGACAAGGTTATGAACTGAAAGGTGAAACTAAACAACGGTTGGCGGGTTTTGATAGAGATTCCTACTCACATGGTGCTTGATAAAGCCTACATGAAAAGAATAACTTAGTGTCTGTTTGCAGCCAAACATCGTGATAACATGTGAGTACCGAGTCAATGAAATCAAAATTCGGTATTGTATCTCCAAGAAGTTATGCAAGTTTGAACTTGTTTTTCAATGCTGGTCAAGTTCTTGTGCATGTCAGCTAATTATAGCATCTTCTAAGAAAAGGATAGTTCAAATTCAACATGCTGTCAAAAAGTTGATTTGATGGATGTTACCTGAAACATGATTCCTATGAATGCCCAGAACTTGAATATTTGGCAGGGAACAGCAACACATATCTGTATACGATTTAAATTTTGTCATAGAATTTAAAATAGCAACTAAACTGAAAAATGAAAAAAAAAAAAATGACAAGAAGACGAGCAATAAACATACAGCATGAGTGCTACAACTTAATTCCAACAGCTATTTTTGCCACACATTTTGATTTTTTGAGACCAACATTATATAAGGCCTAAAAGTGCAAGTAATAAAATAAACAAAAGGTTGCAAAATAAAGAAAACAGAGGAAGCAAAGAGTAGGAATTATGCATCTTCAGAACAATACTAGTGCTACAAGTTATATGAAAAAAATGCAAACTAACGTAATCTTAAGATACCAATCTGTTCCATCCAAGATGTGAGAAGGAAAGGAAAAAAACAGATCATATCCCTGTTTATTCAAGAATTGATCAATAGTTTAAGTTGCTGGCTCAGGCATTTGTTAACTTTGCCACCACCACAAATACATTCTACTGACTCACCACGGATTAAAACTCCAGCTCACCAACCACATCAGTTCATCGATCATCATTTGCCATTAAGCGGGTTGGATTCCTCACCATCCATAAATGATCGAAAATGTGTGTTGGCAAAGTGAACTCATATATAGTGACAAAACCTAACATCGTTATTCAAATAGTTCAACCATATACTCAGTAGTCACAAATTATACATTAGCCTGTGCCTATGTGTCATAGCTTCCTATGTGTTGGTTAGCTCAATTAATTCCACCAAAGTAGCATAACCAACACATTTTCCATTTCACAAAGCTAAAAAGCTCCTTTGGTAGAATAACAGAGCTACTAAACATATGAGATACTAATCCAAAGCTTCTAAGAGGCAAAATCATGTAAGATAACAATTTACCTCGTGGAATATGGCAGATAAAAAGAAGGCTATCATAAGAGCAACACCCTGCAAGGAGACATTTGAATAAAAGATAAGATCCAGCACTCTGGCAAGAACAGTGTGAAAACAATAACAAAGCTTATCCAGTCATATAATGCAAATACCTCAAAGCAAAGGACCTAAAAGCGATTCCAGCTCAAATAAAGTATTTAAGGCATTTATCCTTTTTTTCACAAAGGATTACAATTGCAAAGAAGTCTGTTCAGTAAAATGTAAGCAATGCAATCCTCATTAAATGAAAAGGTCTATAAATATAATCTACTAAATCAAATTATTCTTTGACCTCCCCAGATATGGATTAGTATTCAACATATAATTTTGAGGAATGGCTCAGAAGGATTTTGAGAGATGTTTTTTTAAGTCTTCTGTCTTGCAAATGGTGTATTGTCAATTCAATTGACTTTTCACCTCTAACATACACATGATCAAACTCTTACATAGTGTTGAGTTGAGACATGTATGGATCAAAGTTTCTTGGTAGAGAAAACACCTTAAGAAGATGTTCATCTAGGAATAACTATATCAAAGGCCAATGAATATAACAGAAACCTTACCTTTGGTAAGCCATTCTGCAAGCAGGGAAAATATATATGACGAATCATCCATTTGTGGACAGGCTGGGAATGATCAATTTTCATCAATGACCAGAAAAATGATAGACTACATAAATCATTGTCATCAGTCAAAGATGTAAAATTCCAGAGGGAAATAAATAAGTAATGATAGTAAAAGATATAATACATTTGATTTTTGTCAAATATTAAAATTATGAGAATTAACAACCACAAATTCAAATGTACCAATGAGTTATCAGCCATAATTTTGTGGAAAATCATTTCTTTCATAAGCATTGCCCCAACCCCAATGAACCAGTATATACAAAGTATCTAATCATACAATTTGATTAATGGTTAAAACATACGAGAGTTAAAAAAAGTTGAATCTTAAACTAGTTAACCTAAATCAACAATAATCTTGAAGGACATGATGGATAAAAAATGAAGCATAATTTAATAAACTATAACCCAAGTGGACGAAGAAAAAGATGGGCATTTTATGGAATTCTGTCATATGACATTATCAAAAGATGGACATAAATCATTGTATATACACATTATGGAATTCTGTCATATGACATTATCAAAATATGCATTTTGAAGCTTAATGCAACTAATAATTGATGAGTTACTTGTTAGCGAGAGGTTTGGAAGGAAAAAACCATCTCATTGCCAAAGCCAATTTTCAAATTGTGACTTTTTGAAGTTAAACAAAAGGGACATATATGTTACACTGACCAAATAATAATCAAACAGATCTAAATATTATTGATATTGATGGATTTTCACATAGGATATCTTTGGTTTTGTTTCTTAGCTAAAAATCAGATTTTACAGTGGATTGTCAAATGAGGGGATTTAATCTCAGCTAAGTTCTGAAATAGTTAAATTTTGCACAATCCTCTAGCATACTTGTGATGAAATATTTGCATGCAGTTCTTCATTCTTCTACCAAAACTTTTTCAGTATATCTATAACATAAATGGAGAACTTCGACTGTACAGTTGAAACAAGTTGGCTGACAGTCTTTGGCAGTTAAAGTTGGCCATTAAAGTCCAACACTGTCATTTTAATATTAGCTAATCATATGGTCTAATTGTTTTGTCTATGGATAGAACTGTCTGAAGCATTAGGATTGTCTTAAACTCATCTAGCCATCTTCGAGCAGGTCCTTCAGAAGCACTACTGACATAGTAAGTTCTCATGCACAAGTAGGCTTGAAGCATCCAGAACCTAATTCACATTATTACTACTAACTAATGTAGAAAAGAATCTTATTACTTAATTGACATTGTTTAAGAAGCCAAATAACAGTATTCAAGTCGTTGGTGGGGTACCATATTTCTTTGACACAATGATTTAAAAAGCGCTAGGCGCCAAGGTCCAAAAACGTCCGAGGCACTAGGCACTCGCCCAAGCGCTCGCCCGAGCGAAGTGAGGCGCTAAAATATAAAAATATATAATATAATTAATAAATATAATTATTTAAAATTTTAAATAAAAATATGCTATTAAATTAAGAAAATCTAAGATACAAAATCACAATGTCACATTAACAAAAAGTTTCAAAATTCAAAACAATAAAATTTTACATCAAAATAAAAATTAACATTAAAATCAAAATAATATATTATTAATCTATTAACAGTATTGAAAATTAATCATTTCAAAATTCAAATAAACTTAATATTAAGAGTATACTGTATACTGAGCCTGACGGAGAAATGGGGAAGCAGCGACGAGCGGCGATAGCGGCGGCGGCAGCGGGAAAGGGAAAGGGTGCGGGAGGCGCGAGCAGCGACAGCGACGAGTAGCGGCAGCGGGAGCAGCAGCGACGAGCAGTGAGATCGGGAGCGGCAACGACAGCGGGTTAGGGTTGGGTAAGGGTTATATCGGTTTAGTTGGTTCGATTGAACCAACTAACGACCGAACCAGGACCGAACCAGACCTAAAATCCTGGTTCGGTCACTTGGTTTACCCAGGCGCTCGCCCGAAGCGCCCAGCGCCTGGGCTCGGGCGAGCGCCCAGGCGGCGCCTGTTTGAAGCGCACCGCCTGGGACATTAGCGAGGCGCTCGGGCCTCGCCTCGCCTCGCCCAAGCGCCTAGGCGAGCGCCCGAGCGCCTCTTTCAATCACTGCTTTGACATAAAAGCAGGATGAAGAAATGAAGACTTAAATGCATCTTTTAAAGCATGCGAATTGGCATGATTACAAAACCGACATCTACCATTTTTCTTCAGTTTACAGAGAAGGAAAAATTATACTAAAAGAAGAGAGTAATAGTCTCATAGCGAAACCAAAGAATATTGGTAATATAGAAAAAAAACTGCAGCTTCAAAAAAAGAAGCAACTAAATTGATTTTATTGTGAACAAAGCATTTATTTTCAATTTAGCTATCATGTAAGAAGGCACATGGAAAAAAAAAGTTGAGTCAAGGTTAAAGAGATATACCATGTTCCACATTCTCCAATACTAATGTAGTCCAGTAGTGCACAGACAAAAAATAAGATAGAGTGGAGAAAGTAAGTCCTCGCTTGTTTATAGTACAAGCTATAAAATCATCATGAAAGGAAACAAATTGACAGTAAGTCCACATGTCTAACTACCTCATCAATTGTTTTCGCATTCCACCAATCTTTGTAGAACTCACGATCACCAAAACGAAGGAGCTCAGCAAGAATATTTAACCTATATTCACACAGAAGGCACTCCATTTAATCCAAAAGAAATGAATCTATGCTTTTATTCCATGCTCAGAAGCTCAGACTCAGGAGAACTCTTCAAAAATTTTTAGTGTGTGAAAGAAATGAAATAATAAAAGGCAGCATGTACTGGTTCTCTTAAATGGATATGCACCTTGACTTACCATAAATGAAAAAAGCAATAGAACATGCAAAGCCAAACATACAAAGTTGGAATTGACAGCTTTAGAACTCTCTCTATAGCATACAGAAGGTTCCCTCTCAAAGGATGTTGAGAATTCTTGATGATAGGATTGATATACTGCAAAAAAGAATTTCCAGCAGATTATTTTTTAACAATTACCTCACTGTAGGACATAAAACAAGGAAACAACTGCTTACTTGCTCGATTATGAAGCCCATCAAACCTGTAAATATCACCAACTTAACAATTTGATGGATCACCCAACCCTTTCTAATGGATGTTGTACGAGGATAGTTTAGCTACATATAACATGGGTAATATGTCAGAGTGAGCTCTTAGGTGATCAACCTTGATGGTTAAACTAGAAAAAGTTAGAATAAATTATAAAAAAGTCCAATTAGAAAAACCATATAGTCAATTGCATAGCATTGTTATTCATGACTTTTACAAAATTAACATTGATCTCTAACCATGACATGGCATACATTTTGATGGTAATAGAGGCCGGCCATAATAAGGTATGATATGTATCATACAAAACTTGTGCATTTACAAGTTTTCCAGTTGTACATTTGTTATGTATGGATTATAATGTCTCCAACACATGTTGAATCATTACTGAGACGAGTATACAAGCAAAAGAGTAGGCCTTAGAAGATAAAAAAATTAAAATCGGCAAGACCAGCCAATAACAACATGTAACATAACTTGGTATGGTAAGGTAATCGTATCATACTAGTATAAACAAGGACCAGCATCATTACCAGACCTAGATTTGATATGTTGATTTCACATAAGACCAAACTAAACCGAAGGGATTCTAATTAGTTTCTGAAAAATAATCAGTAAGCAAACTTTTATGTCCTTTAGTGGGGCGAAAAGCAGTTGTTATTGGTCCAATAGTGTGTTATAAGCATCTATTTAAGATTTTATTGTAGGAATATACATCAAATTTCTGCATACTGATATTTCTAGTAACCAGTATTAAGCTCAATTCAAGCAGGTGAGAGCTCGGGTAAAATTTTCCATTGCTTCATTTTTTCCGTAGTTTTCAACTTGTATATCCATCATTTTGTGTTGCTATGAATAATATGCTGTTTCCAGAATGATAATACACACACACACACACATGATATGTGATGTTAATGCATTGCATATCATATGTAACTTACCAATCATTTCACACATGAAAAACCCTGTATATGTGTCTCTAAAATTCATGATTCAAAAATTGTTTTATAATTTCTACGTGTCATCTATACTTCTTATTTTCAGATAAATAAAAAAATATTCTACTCTCTTGTTATTTATATCTATGTTCTTCTCAGAAGAATAGGGATCTTTAGAGAACTAGATTTGCTGACTGCTGCAAATTTTTAGTGTTTGATGATTTGGGACCCTTCTTATGTTTTTAGTAAAGGACCAAGATGAATGATGAAATTGATACACATAGAGCAGATATTTGCCAATCAGAAGCAGGCGAATAACTAAATAAATTACCTTAGCATGAACAGAGAATACCCATGCATGAATATCGTGTAAATCTTGGGAGCAAAAATGAATGTTAGCAGTACCTGATAACAAAGTGTGGGAGCCACCATAAAGTATACTAAACTTTTGAAGCTGACCCATTTTAAATCATCGAGTTCTGGAAAATGGGAATGTATATCATCCTGATGATGCATCAAACAGATTAGAAATTATTATAGTGTAAAATAATGTTGAATACCACATTGATTAATAGAAACTTCACTTTGGTTTGAAGAAACAGAAAAATCTAACCAAATGTAACAACAAGAAGTGAGATCCGCATCTTCATTAGTCACATATGGTATGGACCAATTTTTTTGGTTCAATCAAGTACCAGTGTCGAAACATATACCTTAATATTAATACAATATATTTTAATTTTGTTTTTGTGACTTTATTCTATGATAGTGAGCAGTGCAGGTTGGTATATCGGGAATATATGTAGCAATCAGTCCAATAGATTACAAAAACTGATATCTGACAGAGACTTAAATCCATGATCATGGTTCGCCTTTTGGGTCTGCTCCTTTGGAATGATAGTAATTATTTTTACACTTTGGGAGTTGTATAACCTTCATCAATCAATCCAACAATAGACACTGACAGGGATCAACTTATCAACTTCATTATATAGATCAATATATGCATACACCTATGTACTATAAAGCAGGGAATATGATTTTGCTCAGAGCCTCAGACACGTATGTACCGGCTGGTATTTATCTGTCCTATCATAAAGCAATATAAGGACCACCCTTTCAGGCAGTTCAGGTGTGGTACAAGTCTTACAGCCCTGCTGCACCCTTCTCTCTCCTTCATGGTCCTCATCTTCCTCCTATTATGCCTCATCTTCTTCTCCTTCTCTTCCCCTCTGGTACTGTGACATATACCAGCATATCATGTGCCGATACACTGGTGCATAGTGGACCCATACTGATTCAGCTAGTGATGGGTATGGGTCCAATAACCGAAATTGCAGCCCTTGTTATATATATTCATCCATGAAGAGATAGAGAAGATAGAAATGCATTCCCTCTCTTTGAACAAACAAATTAACAGGAATTTTCATGAATTATGGCATGAACATAATGAGTACAAGTGTGCTACTGAGTCACTGACAGTTGAAAAGTATCATTCTTTAAAATTCAGGTCACAATTCTCCAAACCACAGATATATAAAATTAGCACCATTTGCATTACTCTATATCAACTTGTATGTCAGCAGGTTGCTCTGATACCCTACTCTCTCAATCACCTTGTTGTATGAATAACCCTCACTAAATGCCTCCAAAGATCCTCATGATTTAGATTTATGTTAATAATATTGCATAACAACTACAATGGCTCTGTTTATAGAGTTGAACTAGAAAATATGATATATATTGCATTTGCTTGAGGCCTAAGACTTGTATGCCTACAGTGCAAGATACACCTGCATGTAAAAACATTGGTGGTTGTTGCATCTATAAAAGAATGACAGATTAGGCATTTTCTTATCTATGAACCAAATTAATCACAAATTCAAGAATTTGGTACATTACAATGCTTTCATAGGATATATAGCAACTGTGAATCATAGTCAAATGTCTTTGGTTTAGCATCTAGATGAAGACAAATAATTTTGTTTCTCAAAATCTATGGCACTCATGTTTTGCATACGACTCTAACTTCTTGATGATATCACCATTTTTCCTTCAATAAAATTCATAAGCATCTCATTGTCCTCAATAACAGGTTATTGACCTTCCACATGATCTATAAAGGAGTCCTGTAATAGAGTTTCTGGCCATTATTGTCATGAATGAACCTTTTCCACAAATAAAGCATAATTAGACAAGAAGCCTTTTTCATTCCTTAGCATATAACAAACTGCTTCTTGGCCAACATGCATCTCGTGCTTTAAAGTTTCAACATGTACCAAGCTGTTTCAAAAGCTGATTGTTTAAGCCATTCATTTATCTTTTTCATTAAAAGATCCATTCTTGTAACCAATCATCAGTTCCACCAACTAACCAAGAAGAAAATTACAACCTAAGCACCAAAGCTATCTATGATGAGTACCTTATGAATAGATTTGGAGAGTACTCTTCTATCATAGTTCGTATGTGCATATGATACAAGCTTGGACCAAACTATGATTGCAAAGAACATCAATGTGAAGCCAGACAAAACAGCAGAGTCAAACCTGAAATGGTTCCAATTAAGAAATCAGTAAAATACTACAAATGAAATTACTTATAGTAAAATAAAGGTTTCTGGTAAATTATTGCATGGACAATTTAAAATCTGTTTTTATTCTCTTTATTGAGATTGCATCACAGCCTTCAGAAACTAATAAAGAATCATTTAAAGTGTCCAAGGTCAAACTAATTCTGATCATGGTTCTATAATTATAAGATAGTTTTGGTAAGTATCATGAAGATTTTGAAACACTAGAGACATACAAGAAATTTCAGAAGAGTAAAAATTCATTCTAGTGTACAGCATGTACAGTTCTGGGTCCACTATGAAATAAGTGTTATGTTCTGTATGTGCAATGATAAATTCCTAAACTGCTTGTTGATTTATATTTATATCATACTTATAATCATGCATTGTTTTTCACAGGTATTATTTTCCTTTATATGTTTGTGGATGGCTTAACAAATCTGTTTACATGTAGGAATAATTGCACAAGGCTTTTTTTTTTCTGATAACAAAACCTAAAAATTTAATCAACATACTACAAGAACAGGGACAAATCACTTTAATAGTCTTCTATTCATATTTTTCCCTCTTTTGGTTTATCCATTGGTATTTTGATTGGTGATGCAGGTAATCTATATTCTACATACACCCAGTCACAAATTTCTGATTGAAAACAATATGGGGATGTCTGGAGAAGATCAAGGATATTATCATCAACCAGGACAACACATTCTACAGAGAGAGGCCAAAGGAGAATGAATTTAGTGGGAAAAGAATGCTGAATGAACCTTGCCAAGGAACATATTTGCAGTATCTATCTCAATGTGATAGGCCAGCACTATCTATCTTTTAACTGAAACATTAGTCTTGTCCCAACCTTTGTATTAAAGCAGCCTGAGCTTATAATAACTGCGATTCTGCAGACCAGCCTCAGGTTAAAGCCTAATTTCTCTAAGAACTTCCTCTGTATGCTCAGCTTCAAAGAATTAAAGTTTGGCTGCACTGGCCAGTATGGACTGATATTTACCAGTCTGAAGACTGACCCGTACGTATGGAGCAATTTTCACCCAGTTCGACCTGAAACCAAGCTTTTTGCCTGATAAGATCACTGTCCCAACCAGGCTTATTGGGTGGTAAGCAGATAAGCATCAGCCTATGCCAGGCAATAAACCTACTGTCTGATACTGCTATCTTTTTTAATTATGATAGTACCATCAGGAAGTTCTTGGAGAAATGTTCTAGGCTCTTATGGCCCAGGTGAAAAAAGATGCACTATCTCAGGTTTTATATGTCCAATACTGCTGTCTTTCTTTCTACTTTTTTTCCTTCTTCTTCTGTAACCTTTGCCTCTTTCTATTATGCTCTCTCTTCTTCCTCATCTCCACCCCATTTCCCTGTCACCTCATCTTCTCTCTGTCTCTCTCTCTGTGGTCTATGTATTATCGGCCGGTACTAATCCATAATGAGCATCAGTGCACCACCCTATACTGGTCCAATCTGCTGGCCGATATGGTACTGAGATTTTAATCCATGGTCTGCTTAACCCAAATCAGATTCATGAGCTGATAAGGGGCATTTACTCATTGCCCAATCTACACCCAACTTTCTGGGCAAAATCACAAGTCACCCTGACCTGACATGCTACAGTTTATCAATCAACATGTAGTAGTCTAAAGACTCTAAACAGTCATCTCATTTAGGATCCAATCATAGACACAAGTCAGGTAGTTAAATGGAGTCTAAGTAGCTCGCTTATAAGGTTGATGTCCAAATGTAGCTGGCAATGGATCAATTTTCTTGTGCTTAGGATCAAATATTTCCATAGCATGTATCATGCCCAAACAAATTCCCTTTTGGTACCCTACCATATCTACTGTTGGTATGCTCAGTGCAATATTAAACCAATTTAAAAGATATTTTATTGAGTTGTTATGTATTTTTTATTTTTTATTTTTGAAAAATAATGTGTCATCTATGATACATATGATAATTATACATATCATCTAGGACCATGATAATGAATAATGAGCATAATCAACAAAGGGAAAAATGTGATACCATAATACATGAAACCAAAGAATCAAGTCTCAGTCCATTACTGATTTTGGTAACCCACCAGATTGGTACACAATACTGGTATAACAACCCACATCATCGTATATCATTGAAAAAAACAATAAAATAATAAAAATGAATAATATTATATGTTGGTATTGAGTTATATTTTTTATACTAATACTCAATCAAACTAGTAAACACCAGCCAGTACGATCAAGATTTGAAACTTCGGTGAAACAGATACATTACGATATATCATCTCTCTTTGAAAAATACATGTTAGCCCAATATGTAAACACATTGTATCAAGTTTCGAAAAGCCAAACAATGCCACTGAATAAACCTAAAATCATATTGGATATCAAGTGGTATAGAGAATCCAAGACAATACTGTCATTAATATTGAACTTATAACTTGGTCTATTACATTATTGACATTGTTCTCATGTCATAGTCTGGCTTAGACTCTTAGGTTTAATAAACTGAGCAGACTATCAAAAACATGGACAAAGCCAGCATTCCTAATTAAAAATGAGCTGTCTAAAATTGGATGACTAAAAATATATATATACTTATAGTGGATCTGTATGGACATGTAGCAGAACGAACCATACTATCCTACATCGGTCGGTATAACATGGTCCAGTTTGACTTGGGTTATACCACCAATGTGGGTCAGTCTGCATCTTAATAGTTCATCAAATCATTATTTATAAATTGTACCAAAGTAGTATATACTATTACAATACTTCATCATCAAGTTATTCTGGCATTTAAGGAGTCAGATGAGCCTAAATTAACAACATCTATTGGCAAACACCTCAAATGCAACTAAAAAGTTTCACCATGTCTTTAGTTGTCATTCTCAAAGCTTGTACAGTCTGCCCATCATTTAACTAAAGCACAGTATGCAACCACTTAAAAGTTACATGGGGAAATTGCAATTGACTCTGATGTCAATTTCCATAAGAGTTGTCTTTGATTGTTACTAAAAAATAATTAAAGAAATCATAACAGATGTATGTTAATGCATCTTCAGATGAAGATGCAAAGGTACATTCTTCAGATGAAGATTACATACAATGACAAGATCACCAAAATTATAGTCTAATTATGCAATTATTTGCACCATGAAAAAAACTAAAAATATGTACATTTGTATATCCTTTCAAAAGAAAAGATAAACAAATTTCTTTATATTATTTAACTTTTTTATCTACATACTCATCTGCAAATTACATAGGAAACAATTTTGTTCTTGAAGGCAGCAGAAGAATTATTGTCCACTTTGAACTTGCATAAAATTGGAAAGGAAATACAGAAAAGCAGTTCAAAAGAGACTGTGCCTTCAGCTTGCTGATTTACATAGAACCAGCATTCTTTCAAATGTATATACAAGGAAACACCTAGGAAGTACACATAAATAGCGGAATGCACACAGTAAACAGGTGTTTTGGGCCTTTAGTATATAGGGTTCAGCAGACATTTCTTGGTTTATATTTCTAAACCTTAATTTGAAAGTCAACATAGAATAAAGTCTTATAAAAGTTTTACATTGTTGTTTATGGTTATTCTTGGATCAGTCAAATCCAATCCATGTTATTATTTATCAAAGAGAATATCAATGAAAAATATTTTTAAAGATGATCTAAGCCTAACCAAACTGTATGCACAAAACTGAGGAAGAGAGAAGGATTTACCTGATGATTACATAAACTGGATACAAGATTGAAGCCATTGTAAGTACCACATGAAGACAGATAACAAGCTGAAAATAATGGAATGATATAAATGAGTATTGGAAAGACTGAAAGACATCTACAAAAGAATTGAAGGGCTTTTGCAGAATAAGCTAATGACTAAAAGACGATTTACTCTCAAGTTAAGCATAAATAGAACATAAGTGCACCATAGTTTTTGAGGGACTAGCAACACAAAACCAGGCATCACCTCCATGGATATCATTTATTAATTTCTCTTGTTCTCTTTATAACTGACGCTATCTTCATCAGCTTGAATTTAACATTTAGCATCAACAATCACATAAAATTAAAGGGCTAAGCACAGCTTGAAGGCCCGAGAGGTAACACAGATATTTTTAAATTGTTCCACAATTATATAAATTCAGCATTAGCATGCATGTCGCCTTCCATACATCAAGCACATAATTTGTCAGAATATCATTCTGTATGAGCATATACCCAAAAATCCCACAGATCCAAATTATCTTGACGAACGCACAGGGTATTTACAAAAGTTAGAGATATATCAGGAACTATACTTACTGGTTCAGAAATGAACTTGTGCTGAGCCATCTTTTCGGTTGTAAAAGCACCAAGAGGAAAAACAGGTAAAGTGACACTGAAAGTTTCAGATGTTAGGATGTGTTGCTAGGCATCATGCATTTTGGCTATTCAGAAACATTACCAACATATCAGAAGTGGCCAATCTCTCAATGATTTTGAACTGAACCAAAACCCAGCTCTTATCAGTAGACCATACTGGAAAAAAAAAAAAAACACATGATATCATCCGAGGAATCATATCTTTGTAGAAGTGTATATGCACAAAAAAATATAGCATAGAGAGGACCAATAAAACATTGCTTGTATTAGGAGAAGGAACAAGGAAAACCTTCATCAAGTTTTCAATGATGAGCCGTCCATTAACTGCAATTAGCACTACGATACAGAGGTTCAAAAGACCCGCATGGCTCTGTCAAAAAGCAGACTTCAGGTGGTAGGAAACAGCGTAAGTATGAAGTGAGAAAAAAAAGCATAAGCACACGAAGGTTGTTTGATAGGAGTCATAATTGCCATCGGTAGGACCGGAATTGCACATATTGGTCAACGCCATCAGAAAGGACACGAAATGGTATTGATGTTTTCCACCTGAATAACGTTTTCGCCATGATGCAACATCAACACTAAATAGGAATTCACTAAAATATAAGGTTAATGACATGAAAGGGAAGGGGGAAAAGAATAAAATTTTCGGCTTTATTATCACCAAGTTTTCAGCAAGGGTTTCATGGATGACTCCTCTGCTTCCTTACACCAAGATTAGCGACGAATCCAAGGATCCTCAGAGAAAAAACCCAAGAAAAGATCGGGTCGATAGCACGATTCACCTGCTTAAAGACCGCGTCCGAGCTCAAGGGGCTCTCCCTCACCCTCCGATGCACCGGCGCCGAAGCCCGGCGCGAGAAGTCGGCCCAGACACTGCCTCCCGCACCCTGGTCCTCGCCTCGCCGGACGCCTCCCCGCCCGTCGTCCCCTTCGGCCGCGACGGGCGGGCGACGGCGGAGCGGCGAGTGCGGCTCCGGCGATCGCGCCAGGGCCTCTCCGCCACGCGAGCTCGCCATGACAGTGCAAAGCGTAGCAAGACACTGGCAGTCACGTCTCTCCCTTCCGACGGGTATTATTAGGTCTATAAGTACTGGTAATCAACTACCTGTTTATTGCACGTAACGCTGTCGCCGACTCTCTGCCCGTTTAGATCTGATTAAATACAAATAAATAAATAATATATATATATGAAAAAAAAAAATATATATATATATATAAGAAAATTGAGAGATAATAGAGACGTGCATAAAATAGTTTCTTGCAGAATAAAGCTAAAAGAATCTTTTATGCATAAAATAGTTCTCTCTTATGATGGAATAAAGCAAAGAGAATCTTTCATGATCGTGATTGACCAATTATACAAATATATATATATATATATATATATATGATAAATAATTAATATATTGATAACATCATTTAGACCAATATTGATTAAGGAATATGGGAATCAAGGGTTCATAAGTCCGTCATGAAAATTGTTCATAAGTTTGTCAGATCTCTTTTTATTATTAAATGTATCTTTTGAAGTTTACATACTTTGAAAGGATAAAATCGTATGGATACTCTCATCCTTACGGGTTACACCAATGATATGATCGACAAAATGATCCGTTATCATTATCATATACAAAGTGAGATCATAATTCAAAGTCCACTATGGTGAACAGCTGTGATCAGCTCAAGTGATTAGTTAACCGACCTTTTCTAAGCTATCATTCACCGACAAAGTAAGATGTTTTGCATTCCTTTTTATGTAAGCAAGAAAACACTTCTTCTATTGCTGAGGATGTGCAGTGAGGCTGAAGGGGGACTAATTGGAGAGACCATTTGATTGCATGAAAAGAACAAAGATGTGTCCGTCGATGATGGTGTTTTTTGGCTTTTCTTTTCTCCCAGAGGAAGATGATGAAGATGGAAGGAATGCCCGTGGCATAAAGGGACGAAGAAGAAAAGGAGGATAGATTCTTCAGGATGCCAGAATTGGTGGCATCGGTTCATCAAAACCATGGAATAAAGCTTCCACTCGCGAAGTTTCAGAAACAGTGGAGTTGTCCTTTCCTCACCTTGGAAAAGGACGGCGCGGAAGGAGAGGAGAGGGTTCGAGTTGTTTAATGGTGGGGAGCAGTGGGAGAGGAGAGGGTTCGGTGTTTTGGGCAGGAAGCCTCACCGAGTAAAGCCATCCTCGGTGACCGCCGTCACATGATGGGTTAATTATATATTATTCTTATTTATTAATTATTTATAGTATTTTATTTTTTGTATTTAAAAAATAATATTAAGATATTTATATTTATAAAAATAAAAAAAATATTTTATTTTTCTTCGTATCATCGATTCAGTTGATGAAAATATATCACACGTGCTATTATTTTTACTGATATTAATTTCTATTTCAACAATCAAGAAACTAATAATTCTAAAATAGTCGACAATCGATGGATGAGAAGGAGGTATAATCATAAGAGATCCTTTATCCTTTCTACCAAGTGATTTATTTTGTAATAAAATTTTAAAAATATAGAGAAAAAAAAGAAATAATTGAATAGTATTTAAATACTGTTTCTAACAAAAAATAATTTAATTTTTTTCAACAAAAAATTGCAGTGGATACGTTAGTGAAGGAGGCTCGCAGGGCTATTTTATCGCTCGTCTGCACGAAACCTGGACAAAGGAGGTTGAAGCAGCCTGTCGTCGTCCTCCCAGAGTCGGCCTGCTAGGTCAAACAGGTTTCAGGCATGCGAGGATCGACTGCAGCACGGAAAACAAGGTGGAGGAAGACGATTTACCGCCCAGTACGCAAAGATCCTTGACGTCCTATCATTAGAAACACTAGGGTTTACCTATGAGCAGACAAACCGAAAAGAGAAAGATCAGAATAGAGTAAGACTGGGGAATTCCATAAGCAGATCGACAAAAAGGATCACCATCCATCCAGCTTCGATGTTATTGGAACGGTCGGTCGGCCGGTTCCTGAGCCAGATTTTTGCACTGGAGAACTCAGAATCTTGCTGCACCGACAGATTCCAGAGGTTGATGATAGCTTTGGCTCCGAGAATGTCGTCGCCAGTAGCAAGAAGACCACCATACTGAGCTCGGCAACCATGAAGCGACCTTAATAGTGTGGTAAAGGTGGACGAAACGTCGATGAGTGTTCAACAAGTGATGCCTTTGGACACGGATGACAGCATGTGAGTTTTCAGCTCCATAACCTAATGGTCCACTGTTGTTCAAACGAACCACCAGTCTCTTAACTCCAATCCATGGCTTCCTACCGTAGTTTTGGATCGAAGGAGCATTCAACAAGTGATGGCTTTGGACACGTACGATGGGTATGGTTCCATAGGGGAAGTTGACTCTTCTACCACACTAGAGTGAGTGAGCCATTTGTTGGGTTGGAAGAAGCCCCATCTCTTTCTTCTGAGTGCTCATCATCGGGTCTCATCTACAACACAGCTTTTCCTTGGATCATAATCAGATTAGCAATAGAAAAGACAACAGGAATTATTATCATTTAGGTTCACAATTATCATTTTGAGCATATTTTATGAAGATTAATTGTTTATTTTTAGGGCCAAGTTATGTTCTGTGAAAAAAAACGGAATTATAAGATGTTTATGTATTTTCATTATAAGTCGCATGCTTCGTGAAACAAATCTATTCTCTTCCTAACAGAAGTTTCAATACATTTCTGAAAATTATAATAAAAAAAAAGCCAAGAACTCAAACCTTAATGATATGATGAGCTTTGAGTAGTGGATGATCCAAAGGTGGCTTCATGTAAATATCAACACAATCTATTATGTCACCATCTTCGCTCTGCAGATTTGGACCAACATACAAATTAGTAATGTTAATTAATAGGTATATTTCTTATACAGTCTAAGCCTACATTTACAAAATATATTTTAGATCTTTGGAGCAAAGATATTTCCTTCATTTATTCTCACAAAAACCCAAACATACACAAAGAACAACAAAAAACAAAGATGAAAACATAAACAACAGTAAAAATCCACAAAGAAGACCCATAAATTAGTACAGATGGAAGTCAAAGCCAACCTTAATGCTCTTCACTGCAGGCTTATTGAGAAGTTTTAACTTCTCAATTAACAATTCATCTTCTGCAAAACAAACAAGAAGGAAATAATAAGAGGTGGAGAATATTAAATCTCAGTGGACTCTACGCCTGGAAGTCCATAAGACAGATCTATAACATACATTGTGTTGAGCTGTTCTTGTGTGATGCAATGGTTGATACATACAAATTTAGTGTGTATGACAGGGAAAGTAATGTGTGATAGCATTGCTTTTCTGCACATAGTAAAAGAAGATACAGAAGGATGAATGACACCTTATGCTCAGTATGTGTAACAGAGAAAGTAATTAGCGTGATAGCATTAGAATTATTAGTGTGATACTGTGCCAAACCAGGTGAGATTTTGGATTGTGAAATAGATTCTTCCCTAATAAGAACGCTAATTAAACCACAGGAGAGCTGATTCTCATTTTTATAAATGATCAATTATTAAAAATAAAAAATAAATTATGAAGATGAGATTGAAGCGAAGAATATTATAATACATTGTCAAAATCCTTACCCACTAAGCTAGCAAGCAACTTCAACTATTTTCAATGGTGAATAAAAAAATGATAAAACTTTTTTTTTGGTAGATAATAGGAAATAGAGAAGCTTTTGTGATTTGAAAATAAGGCATGTATATAAAGTGTACAAGTGAGAATAAATGAAGAATTGATTAGATTTGGCATTCATATATTATGCATTGAAGATTTAGTGTTCTTGGTCACATTAGATTCTAAGTGTGATTCTTTCCATAGTCATGTCTATCATCAGATAGATGATAGATTTCAATAAATGGACCATAATAAAGAATCCATAGTCCATCAAATGACAGCCTTCGGTTTGAGCCAGTTCGATTCCCATGTATCGCATCAGTGAAAGTATAGTATAGGGTTATTAGGGGTAAGAAATATATTAGAAAAGGAACAGTGGTCAAATAGAAAGTTGATTAGTGATAAGAGATCTGTAGGAATTGTAAGATGGAAACTATGTGATTCAATCAATATGTTTTTAGGTTTTTATAGCTGATTGAACTGCCTCAGATTTCAGATGTCAGAGTTTGGGTTCATATGGATTAGAGAATAATGAAGTAAACAACAACTATGTTGTTTTCAAGTTGTAAATGCATGACAATCTGAGTGAATATATATATATGTGAATGTATCAGGATTTATGACAGAGGACCAGGAAGTATACATAAATTGGAAATGCAAAAGAACACTTTCACTCAGAGAAGGAAGCAGATGACTGTCTGTAATTGGAAAATGAAAAGAAGATAAAAGATACAGTAGACAAGTTTCTTAGATGAAACTGATCAAAAGCCTTCTCATACTATTATTCTACTTTCCACTAAGAACTGGGAATTGTCCAGGATCCTCGATAAAAGGAACTGAAATAGATCTTACCACAAGGTACTGGGAATTTTCCAGGATCCTCGATAGAAGGAACTGAAACAGATCTAAGCACCCTGCGACCCAAATCACCACGGAATGATCCATGGTCACCTAGGCCTCCATAATGCTTATAGCATATAGTGTGGGAATAGAATATCATCATAATAGATCAGGATACTGTTTGATTCATATATTGTCAGGAAAACAAAATACCTTCTTGACCAGTCCCTGAGCATCACCAGTATCTTTCTTGTCTTCCCATAACCTCTTCAGAACCCTGTTAAGACCATCATCAAATATAAAACAAATAACTAAGAATCTACATACACAGAGTATAAAGTGGCAATGTAACCAAGCTAAACAATTTAATTAAAACATCATTATTTACTTTCCTGATAGACAGCCGTTGCATTGACTCGAAATCCTAGTCAAATTTGACTTTCCTCACTTCAGAATTCATGGCAAGTAGCACTTTTAGTTTTCCCTCCTTTAATTTCTTGTGCTCTTCCGGAGTCATTTCTTACACCAACCAGTGTAACAAGTCAATCAGATGCATCCATGTCATCAAACAACAAAAAGGCAGGCCTTTTTTCCAAACAGAAAAAGAAACCCAACATGTAAAAGAATCTGAAGAGGAATTTCAACAGGCAAAAAAGATACATTATGTTTTTTGTGATTCCTTTTTGTTTAATCATACTTCCTCTCAGTGGTGGATTTTCACTTATATTCCTTTTTACATATAGATATCTAAATTGATAAAGGAATAATCTCACTCTAGTGAAGCAGCATATATAAGTAGATTCCGCTCTATATCCGAACTGAAAGCTTGGATTAAAACTGAGTCATTTATGATATGGAAATACCAGTAAGGTCCTTCTATAGTAGAGCAAATGATCAACTGAAAGCCACTCACCTCAATGTCTGGCAAACCTTCAATTGCAACTATAGACCACATGCGGAAAAAAATAACCATAATCTTGAGCATGAAAGTGATCAATTAGAATCTTAAATGGCTCCATGAGTCTGGTTTCTGTTTAGACTCAGTGGTTCTTTCATTCAGATTAACCTTCTCCATAGAGAATGGTTAGAGGTTGAGGTTCCATGAAGTTTAATTTGCTAACAGATCAGTAGCATACATAGTCAACTAAGAGACAAATTTGGGAAATTCTTCTGATGTGTTTATTCAATTGCCCAGTTATAGGAATATTAATTTTAGTGCTATTCTTTGTTTACAAGAGTCTAATTAACTGAAATATGAACTTATTTTTCATGAAAACAACAAATTTCTATGGTACCTACTTCTATCTCTTTCTCTGTGTGAAACAATTAAGCAATATTTCAACATATTTTGATTAAATTATCTTGTTTTAGAATATCTGAGCCCACCTTACTAGCAAAAAATCTGAGTAGAAGTGTTTCATCATAAATAAAAAGGACAAATAGATAATTCATAATCAAATGCATGTCCGAAGCATGGCCAACAGTTCCAATGTATCTCATCACAAATCATATAACAATACTTGGATATCTGAAGCAGATATGTACAAGAGTCCATGCAAGTAAGAACCCACAGAAACAGTACCCTCCAGAAAAAATTGCCAGAACACCTATTGCGCAACTGTCTCTTGAGCAGGTTTAAAGAGTATAAGAATACCATGGCTAGAAACTTCTAGCTACTATATAAAAAGCACATATCGATTACCTCATAACCAAATGTTTATTACATGTATGGCAGCTTTCTGAATCACACATGACCAGGAAGACATGCCGAAACCTTGATGCTGCAACAAGCATACATTTTGACCGGGTGAAATGGAGCACTTGCATATGCTATCGGTTTTACACCATGCAAGACCCTTTGGATCGGCCATGGGCATAAAAAAGAGCAAATTTAGATATCTTAATCCCCAAAAGACATCACATATGAAGGCTTACTGTGCTTTTTGTTTGACTAACTACGTGGACTTAATTAACAGTAAGTCACTGAATCCTGTTCTCCGACAAAGAAATAGGCAAGAAGTCTGAGTATGATATATTTCCAAGGCCCTTCATGCAAACAACATTTTGTTGCTTAAAGAAATTTTCAAAGAAAGGGCTGTAAGTAAACTTTAGTATATGCCTGCAACGGAACTGAAGTGGCACATTACGAGCTTTAAAGCAAGCCACCTAGTTCTCTCAAAGGCATAAATGAATATAGAGATATTTATCCATTTTTATGAAATGTGATGCACTTGAAAGAGTTAAAAGAGGCAATAGGTAATGCCCATCCACCCTCAGGAGCAAGAAGTTAAGTGCTGGAGTATGGTGCTTTCAACTTGTTCCTCATAGTTCTACTTCTACACCATGCAAGGCCCTTTGGATCAGCCACAGGCATAAAAGGAGCAAAGCTGGATATCTTAATGTGCCAAAAGGCATCACATATGAAAACTAATTGCGTTTTTGGTTTTACTAACTACGTGGAATTCGTTAGCCGCAAGTCACTGAATCCTATTCTCCGACAAAGAAATAGACAAGAAAGCTGAACGCAATAGATTTCCAAGGCCCTTATTGCAAGCAACATGTTGCTCAAAGAAATTTTCAAAGAAAGGGCTGTAAGAATACTTTAGTATATGCCTGCAACGGAACCAAAGTGGCACATTAAGAGCTTAAAAGCAAGCCACCAAGTTCTCTCAAAGGCAAAATTGAATATAGAGAAGATTTACCCATTTCGATGTAATGTAAAAAAAGGCAATAGATTATGACCATCACCTCAGGAGTAAGAAGTTTGGTGCTGGAATAAGGTGCTTTGAACTTGTTCAAGAATTGTCATTCTTAAAAACTTCTAGCAACCACACAACAATCATATAACATTGTCATTCTTAAAAGCTTACAGCTACCACACAACAACCGTATATTACCTCATGACCAAATGTTTATTACATGTATGGCAGCTTTCTGAATCATACATGACCTGGAAGACATGCCAAAACCTTGATGCTGCCACAAGCATACATTTTGGCCGGGTGAAATGGAGCACTTGCATATG